GTCAGTAGCACTGCACTGTTGGAAGGAGGGGGGAGTATGGGCTGTCTGCGATATGGGCACAGTGAGCTATATAAACAAGTCTTTTTCTGCTCGAAATGGTCTGTCTACAAATACACCGATGTAATTAATAATGACACTCACTGGCTGATGCATACCTGTTACGTGCAGACTAGCGTGTTCGATAATATGGCATTCTCTCGCATGCACACGCCTTTTTTCTCCCCTTCCACCCCCCTCCCACTCCGAATTTTTTCTCTGTCTCTGCCTCTCTCTCCCCCCCCTCTCTCTCTCTCTCTCTCTCTCTCTCTCTCTCTCCCTCTCTCTCTTTTCCGTGCCAAAATCACAAATCCTTTTCGATATTCCGAAATCAAGGTTTCCTAAAAACATTAATGAGTATTGCTTGCAGCATTTGCTTCTTCCTATCCGCAGCAGCAAAGAAAGCTAACTTCGAGCTGTCAACGTCTTGATCAATGTGTAATGCATTTGGACAATTCCACAATGTAAGGCTTTTCATGCAAAGCTACGGCCTCTTTTACTCCTTGGGTGTGGATCAGAGGGAAGGCAATATAATGTATACAGCACATTATGTGTATGATGACTTCTCATTTCGTTTTCTCTGCATGCCCTATCAGAATGCTTTTTCCTCCAACGTTAACCCCCACCCCTCCTTTATTTTTTTGTGTTTTGTTTTGTTTACGTTCTTTCTCCCTGTCTGTCACCTACCTCAAAAGTATAGCAGATTTTTCTACCTGATATTGCCCAGCAGGATTATATAATTCTTGCGTGTACCTTCATTAACATAATCTACCCTTGTTCTTTGCTCCTTTTTCTACCATGAATATTGTTTGCCATTTTATTTAGATACACCTGACTGACACGTAAGCTTACATTTGTGAGGCAGCGTGGTGGAATCAGGCTCTCGTAAATTTTTGGGCATATAGAATTATTGGTACCATATTAAAGCCTGTTTACTTGTCTTTATTTGGTGAAAAAAAAAATCCAGTTATCTTGAACACAAATCGAGATATTTGTGAAAGAAGAAGGTGGGGGTCACCTGTTTTCAGAGGTAAAATTAGTGAGAAAATTGCCGCCAAAGATTAGTTATTTCCTTTCCTTAAAAGTTCGTGGTAACTGAAAATTTACGTTTTTTGTGCCTTTAATCAACTCTTTTTCAGAAAATTCCACACAGAAATGAGTTCTTTCATGAGCATGAAAGGTGTTGAGCCAAAAAACAAAAATTTTATAAAAATTCACAAACCTGCGGAAAAATGCAAGTTTCTTCACTTTGACTATTTGGACGAGAGCCTGATTCCACCACGTTTCCTCACATTTGATTTTAGCGAGAGTTTCACAGCACTTCGCTACCTCAGAATAACGAAGTTCTATCTGCTCAGTACCTAGTTTTGAGAAATTTGACGTCAAGTTTGTCAATCATTTCAAGCTTTTTTTAATGCAGTTTTTTTTTGATATCTTGATAACGACTCCAAATAATCTTACGATTTTGCTAGAGCAGATA